GCTAACCTTGCAGCCCCGGCCTCCAGGCTCCCTTTCTCGCTGGCTCGCAGCCTGGGGGAGGGAGAGGCCTTGGCGGCATCTCGGGCTGCGGCTGTGGCCCCTCCGTCTCTGGATCTTGCCACACGGACCAATGCCAGCCTCTGCCAGGTCATGACTCCTGCGTGGCTGCCACCCCCTCCTTGCCCCCTCCCAGGGAGGTAGAAGCTTCGTCACTAATCTCCGGCTGGCTTCTCGGCTCCTCCCTCACCTTTACAGACATGGTCTGTTTTTTGTTTTTTTGTGTTTTTTTTTAAAAGTATGTCTTTACTGATTTCAGAGAGAGGAAGGGAGAGGGAGAGAGAGAGAAACATCAATGATGAGAGTCATTGATCGGCTGNGAAGGGAGAGGGAGAGAGAGAGAAACATCAATGATGAGAGTCACTGATCGGCTACCCCCTGCACACCCCTGCTGGGGATCGAGCCTGCAACCCGGGCATGTGCCCTGACGGGGAATCGAACCATGACCTCCAGGTTCATAGGTCAACACTCAACCACTGAGCCACGCCGGCCGGGCCAGCCACGGTCTGTTTTAACCACAGGTGGGACCCTGACTGGCATGTAAGGTAAATGGGTTCCTTGAAAGAAGACAGGGCAGGGTGCCAGCCCCAAACCCTGGGGGACTGAAACCGCCCGAGTGTGACCCTGCTCTGCCTTTGAGCAAAGAGGCCGTGGCACTCACGAGCCGGCTGGCTGTGGGCAGGGGGAGGCAGGAGGTTCCCGCGCCAGGAGCCCCTGGCAGGTGGAGCAGAGCCCTGGAGGCTCCAAATTAAAGTTTTCAAAGCCCGAGTTCACTCCTCCACACACAGTATAAAACCTTTGGCATTTTGCGGGAAAACAGACTCTTATTTGAAAAATAAACTCGGGAGAGAAAGGAAGAGCCGTTTGTCTACGATCCAACACAGGGGTGGGCGAAAGGGCCGGACGCGTTACAAGTTAAACACATTTCTCTGGAGAGCTCATTCCAAGGGTCCTCACGACGCCCTCGGAGGCAGAGCCACAGACAGGAGCTGGGTTTAAAGAGCCGAGGGCCCGGCCGGTGTGGCTCAGCGGTTGAGCATCGACTTATGATCCAGGAGATTGGGGTTCGATTCCCGGTCAGGGCACATGCCCGGGTTGTGGGCTCGATCCTCAGTCGGGGGCGTGCAGGGGGCAGCCGATCAATGACTCTCTCATCATTGATGTTTCTCTCTCTCCCTCTCCCTTCCTCTCTCTGAAATCAATAAAAATATATTTAAAAAAAATATTTAAGAGCTGAGGTGCAGCTGACCCACTCCAGGATCGCAGCCACCCACGGGGAGTCTTTCTATCCTAATTTAACCACGGACAGAAAATGAAATCTACTTGGGCGTCCACCGCGCCCCTGACCTCGGTCATGGCTGTGAGCTGCTCTTAGAAACCGATCCTTCCAGCGCCTGCCATCCCACGTCGCCGGCCAAACCCCGACACTTCCTCCCGCCCGGCTCCCTGGGCCCGGCCCGCTCCCAGCCTTTCCCACCCATCCTGCCGCTCAGGGCCACGCAGGGCTGCGTTTCCTACATGCGACGGTTCCCCTGCCCCGTGGAGAACCCAACTGCGCGGGTCGGGGGCCGGGCCCTGAAAACGAACCGGAGGCCAGTGGGAAACAGAAAGCCGGGCCGGGGCAAATACTGTTCCAAGGGAAATGGCTTTCGTTCCCGCGCGTGGGATGGATTCCGACATAAGCTGTATTTCCCACTGGGGGCCGCAGTCAAAAACGTCCCAAACTGCAGCTGTGCTCAGCTGGCTGACGGGGCCTCCCTGGGCCCCAGGGCGGGTCGTCACCTTTCCCTTCCTGCCTGTCCCACAGGTACCCTGGCCGTGACCTAGAGTCCCCGCGGTGTAATCAGAGTAGCTGGCTGCCCGGGTCAGCAATTTTCAATGCCCTTTTCCTCGTGGGACATAGATGATGTCCCCGTGCCCAGTGGGGCCGACTTCTGTCCGTAGCGATCTCTCAGGGTGGACTGAGAAACCCATCGATCGGCTGCCTCCCACNCCGTGCCCAGTGGGGCCGACTTCTGTCCGTAGCGATCTCTCAGGGTGGACTGAGAGACCCATCGATCGGCTGCCTCCCACACGCAACGCAACCAGGGCTGGGGACTGAACCAGCAACCCAGATACATGCCCTTGACCAGGAATCGAACCCTCGACCCTTCAGCTAATGGGGCAATGCCCTAACCACTGAGAAACACCGCCAAGGTGTGATGCCCCTTCTTGCTCAGTGGGAGGCCAACTGGCAAAACGCCACCTGTCTCGGCCCCTCAGAGCCATCGCCACAGGCCCGTGGGGTTCTGGGAAGAAAACTGCTTCCAAAAAGTCTCTGTCCCATCTAGTTTTGTTTTTTTAACCTGAGAATATGTTTTTATTGATTTTAGAGAGAGGAAGAGAGAGAGAGGGAGAGAAACATCGACGTGAGAGGGAAACATCAATCAGTTGCCTCCGGCACAAGCCCTGACCAAGGATTGAACCCACAACCTGGGTACGTGTCCTGACCAACCAACCAGGCCACCCAGCCAGGGCCGTCTCATCAAGGTTTTTATTATTATTATTAATTTTAGAGAGAGATCGAAACATCCATAAGAGAGAATCATCGATCGGCTGCCTCCTGCACGCCCCCTACTGGGGATCGAGCCGAAAACCTGACAAGGAATCGAACTGGTGACCTTTTGGATGGTGGGACTCAACCACTGAGCCACACGGGCAGGCCTATCACATCTAGTTTTGATGCCAGAAGCCCCTTCTCAGTTACGAATGTGTCATCTACACCCCGAGTGTGCGGCCTTGACCTTCCATCAGCACATCTCAGTTTGAATACCTCTGAGCACCTTCCCCGGACGCAGGTGTTGGTCTGAGAGGGGAGGGAGCAAGGTGAGGGGGCTGCAGCTCTCAGAGCCAGGAGCCCACAGGAGGGAGGCAGAGGGGGCTCCAGGGTCCCCGCCGCAGCTCCGCCCCCGTTACAATGGGGGTGACGAGGCCCAGCCCTTTCTTCACAAGTTCCAATCGCTCTCATCTTCATCTAGACACACACGCACCTCCAGACGCACCTCCGCCCAGACCCCAGGGCTCCCCACCGAAGGGCCACACTCAGGCCTCGGGCTTGTGTTGTGTGGGGCTCTGGCTGGCACTGGGGAGGACCTCGGAGCGCTTGGGGGGGGAGGGACAGGCCCATGAAACCTTAGGGACACCAGCTTGCAAAAGACAGAAGGAACAGAAGCATGTCACGGGGGGGGGAGGGGGACACACAAACTGCACAGATGCTTAAAATAACAGCCATATTTCAGAGCTCGGGCGGACGGCTCACGGCAGGTATAACCAGGGAAGGCTCCCTGGAGAAGGCGGGGCGCGAGGAGGTCTCACAGGAGGCTGCAGACCATCACGGTTGACCTCCAGGTCACTCCGGGGGCCCCCGATGGTTCCCCCCTCCCTCCATCCCACCACCTGGCGCTGCGCAGTGGCCACACCAAGCCCTCCGGGTGCAAGTCCCTCCCTCAGTAACGCCATCCCACGGCTTCCCGATCGCTCCATGAAAACACAGCGCCCTGCCCTGGCCTGCGAGGCCCCCCTGCACCCCCCTGACCTGCCCCCTTCAGGCCCAGGGGTGTCCCTGCTCAGGACAGGGACTCGCTGGCCGGCTGCTGTGCCCCCAGAGCCTGGCACCCTGGACATCTGAATGGATTCAATGTGCGGTGACTCCCCTTGGAAAGGCCTCGGCAGGCCGGTCAGGTGTGAGGTGGGCATGTCCCCTCTGTGGCATCAGCTTTCTCCTGTTTGCACCTGAAGGCAAACATCCCCAGCGGGAGGAACTATCCAGGGACGGTGACGGTCACCTTTGTCCCCTGGGCAGGGCCAGCCTGTGGCCAGCGTTAGGCTCAGCAGTGGGGCTATGCCGCCCCCTAGCGGTCACTCAGCCACAACACCGGAGAAAACCGGAGGTTTGCTGAGCCCGGCGGCCCTGCCCCCTGTGGCACCTGCAGGGGAGTCGGTCCTGGTCTCTCCTAGCTTCTGGTGGCTGCTGGCACCGCCTGGCGTCCCTTGGCTTGTAGACGCATCACTCTAATCCCCACCTTTGTTGTCACAGGGCATTCTCCCTGCGTGTCTGTCTTTACAGTGCCGTCTTCTTATTAAACACCAGTCACACCCCATCAGGCCCCAACCCCGCCCCGGGTTGACTTTATCTCAACCAATTACATCGGCAATGGCTTCGCTTCCAGGTCACATCACCCTCGGAGACGCTGGGGGCTAGGACTTCGACATATCTTATTTGTTGTTAATCTTCACCTAAGGATATTTTTTTCCATTGAATTTTTTTTTTTTTTTTAGAGAGAGTGGAAGGGGGGGCGAGAGAGAGAGAAACATCGATGTGAAAGAGACACATCAGTTGGTTGCCTCTCGCAGGGACCTGCAACCCAGGTATGTGCCCTTGAGAGTGTTCTGCACTCAGATCACAAATATTTAGGATCCATCCTAAAGAACTCGCTCTCAAACACACTCCATCTGTCAGAAAGAGAGACGCTCGGATCTCCCAATACCGGACCACAGGCACCGGGGCCCTGGGCAGACCGGAGCAAGGGCTGAGCCCCTGGCCCCGGGCAGGGGGCAAACCTTAGCTTCATGCCACAACTGTTTCTCAGAAAAGGCTGGAGGCCACGGCCTCACTGAGCATCTTATAGGTCGGCCCACAGGCCGGGCCACACCGAATGGATCGGCACAGGGAGGAGCCCACAGGCGCAAACCGACATTGTTCTGGAGAGAGATCTGCTCCCGGGGACAGACACAGGTGTAGGCACCTGCTCCCGGGGACAGACAGACACCGATGTAGGCGCTCAGCACCCACGGGAGCCACCCGGCCGGCTGTGCTGTCCCGGCAGGTGGCACCCTGGCCACGTGGCCGGAGGGAGGTCCCCGGCGGCCGGGCACGCACCTGAAACAGAGCATGAGTGTCTTACTTTTTCTGGAGCGGGAAAAGAAGCGGATGCCCCCCGGCGAGGTGGAGGAGCTGGACGAGGGGGACGACTCCTTGGACGAGGAGCGGAAGATGCCGCTGAAGCTCATGCGCCGGGGCGAGCGTGGCGGGGACTCCTGGTAGAACGGGAACACGGTCTTGGGAGAGCCGGGGCTGGTCTTGGGCCTCACGGGCGCAGACACGGGGCTGGAGGGCCGGGGCTGGGGGCCCCTGGAGAAGAAACCTTTGGAGGGGCTGCCCGAGCTGAAGGGGCTGTCCACCTGCAGAGACAGGCGCACGGATGAGCCACGNGGCCCCTGGAGAAGAAACCTTTGGAGGGGCTGCCCGAGCTGAAGGGGCTGTCCACCTGCGGAGACAGGCGCATGGATGAGCCACAGGGACTCAGGCACTCAGACCTCGGCCCTGCCCTGGGCCTGTCCCTGTCACCCCTGCCCCTCCGGGGTCTTCTGTCACCGAGCTGCTCCTCCACAGCACCCTGTCTGAGAAACAACCCCAAGCTCTTCTACAAACAGAGGTGACCTGGGAAAAGCACCTGACCCCAGAACAGCCCATCCATGGGCCGGTCAGCATCACCCAGAGGCCCACCGGCCTCTGTCCAGCTCTCAGAAGGGCTTCCTGGAGGAGGGGACAGGCAGGCAGAGAACCTGGCTCGAAATGATGTATCTTTGCCCTTTAACCTGCTCGCGGGTCTGTCTTCTGGCCTCTATTTCCCAAGACCTCATGCTTGTCGTCCTCGAGGTCTGGCCACCCAGGGACAGTGTTCTCCTGCCCCCTTGAAAGGAGGGAATGAGCCTCTATTGTCTGCACACAGTGGGCCTGGGGCTCTGTCCCAAGGGCCCCGGTGTGGGGAAGGGATGCATGTATCACCTCCTAGCTGCTGTGGTTGCTGGGATGACAGTCAGGAAGAAAGTGACAAGGCCGAAAGCCTCTGGGGCTCGCTGCATCGGTCACTTGTCACAGGGCTCCCTGGGCAAGGACCAGGCCTGGCGGGGAAACCCCCAGCTCGCTGAGACCCCGGTGGCCACAGGTGTGCCGGGAAGGTGGGTGGACTGTGCCCGCTGGGCCTCTGCCCACTTGGGGTGCCCGTTGGACACATGACCCCTGTGAGTTCCTCCACCACCAGAGGGCGCCCCAAACTGGGCTGGAGCGAGGCTCCTTACAGGATGCGATGCCCGCGGGGACGCCACCCTCAGTGACCCCCAGCCTCGGGCCCACCTCTCTGCCGCTCCCCGCCCTGCACTGAAGGACCAGGGTGGCCAGGAGAGAGGCGGAGGCCGAGGCCGTGCCGACGGGAACCGCAGAGCTCAAGCCCACGGCCTCGGGGAGGGCCGGGCCTTCCTTCCCTAACCGGTCGGCGCGAGCTGCACCCAGATTCTCCGTCTGCCTCCAGCTTCACCGCCTGCCGGCGGGGCTCGGGCTGTCGGAGGCTTTTCTGAATCCTTAGGATAACTGATGAGGGGGCTCTGCGTGGCGGGCGGCGTGGGCCCGCGGCCGTGGCGGGGCAGGGGGAACGGAGAGGACCTGGCGGCAGGTGGTACGAGCAAGGGTTCCAGAGGCAGAGGCTGGGGTGTGATCCCGGCTCGGCGTCCAGCAGGGTGACAGGTGGCCTAAGCTTCGGTGTCCTCTATCCAGCGAGGACACTCGGCCGAAGCAGGGGTGTAAAGGTGACAGGACACGCTAAAGGGACGCAGCTGGCACAGTCCTGGCCCACAGGCAACTCGAGGTCCCCGGAGGCTCGTGGGAAGCAGACCTGCCGAGGCTCTAGAGTCGGGGGGAGGCCGTGCCTGCTCTCGGGGGACGCGGCATGGGCGGGAGG